GTGTAGGTATAGAGATGACTGAAAAACAATGTTATTTGTTTCTGTTTTGTCGAAAAATGCATTTTTTGCACTTTCATGCACTGTTGTTTTAATCTTAGCTTGCTAACAAATAATAGTACAGATCTAAAACTGTATGTGAATATTCCACTGTTATAGAAGAATGATGCAGGTGATTACTCCTTTTCTTATCAGTTTCTGTCTTCAAACAATCTTTCATTTTCTTGAAAACTCTATTTTCTGCAAAACAAGGTTTCAAGAAAATCAAAGCAATCACTTATTTCATTCTTCCAGGAGTGGAATATTCGCATACAATTTCAGAGCTGTACTAACATTTGTTAACAACCGCAATCAGCAGCCGGAGATGACCACTGATGGCTATCTATTATTTCCAGCTGAACTACCACAGAGGGTTACAGTCCTTCGCACATTGATTTTGCGAATCCTAGTCATTTTGTGACCGAAAACTTCCTTTAGGGCAACCAAAGTACAATCAGGGACTAGGGATACTTACACTGACCACTATATCTCGATTCCAGCTGAACCATTAAAGTAGGATACAGTCAAAGAAGCATCTGAAACCCATCCTGTAATTGAATCAAACCACATGTACGTTTAAGATACCTCTTTCTTGTACGACGTTTTGATCCCAACTGCTATATTTTCTCGCAAGAACAAACAACACGACTCTCTTTATACACTAAGAACCAAATTTGTCTGATGCCTTGAGTTCAGTGTGTACGAGAGAGAAGTGAGTATAGACACACATGTTGCAAGGAGGTAGAGCCGCCTGGATAGCGAACCTCATCACCACGTTGCCTAGCAACGCTGACGCGACGATTTGCCGCGTTGCCAATAAGCTACACCAGTTCCTTGAATGCATATTGAAAGTGCGCGTTAGTTTGTACTACAGTATATTCAGATAAGAGATAGACCGGACATAAACAAGACCACGTGATCATCGAACGCTGTAACATTCGGCAGGGACGTATTAAGAGTCACGCAGTACATATTTTAGATAGTAGATGCTGCTTTGCGTAACTTTGTAGTAAATTAGCACAATTCGATGTGTATACGATTGGTGATGGATATAGGATCATGTGGGGGTGGGGTAAGAAATATATAATGATGTAAATATACATAAGTGTTTCAAAATTTTCGCTTCGATTTCCAGCTTCGGATGCCGCCTGATGTTTGGTGAAATACAGTCGAATATAATCTCAAAATGGCGTTTAAATTAGTCTAAATTAAAAATAATCCTATATCTCTTAAAATTGGTTTTAGAATATTGATTAGTATATTTTTTGATTTCTAGGTAAATATGTAACCAAATTAAAACGTTCAAAACGTAAAAAAATGTGCATGGTTGAACATTGTCAGAAAGTAGATTCTTGAATAGGTTTTGCCAAAATGGGTTCAAAAATGTCAATAATTAATTAAAAAATACAGTAGCTTTATAATTACTTATAACTTACCGAATTTGATGAACGACATCTTTTATTGGAAAGATGAGCTTGATGAGCTTTCATCATCGCTACTGCCTGAAGCACCAACGTCAATAATGAATGGCTCGACTTGTTCCTCTAAAATATTGTCCAGTTCCCACATTCTCTTTTCAACTTTGTCTTTCACGTGCTTAATACAGTTTTCCCATTTTTGCGCTGTTATTAATTCTAGTGCTTCTTTGAAAAGTCCTTTGAGGTCACAAAATTTAAAAGTTGTATTGTGCTTAGCTATATAATTTTTAACCTCTGCCCATATGAGCTCAATGGGATTGAGCTCGCAATGGTATGGAGGTAAACGGAGCACAGTTTTATTTTGACTTGCTGCCATTTCGTCAATGGCGTATTTTTGATATTCCGTCTTGTGATCCTTGACAATTCTTAATAATTGTACTTTCTGCATTGCTTCTTCAAAGTTGATATTTTTCGAGCGGAGCCAATTTTGAACATCAACTTTCCTTGAAGCCGTTGTTGGGACCTTCTCCATTCTTCGAGAATGATAAGGCGCATTATCCAACACAATTACTGCGTTTTCCTCTAAGTTCGGTAACATTTTTGAAAACCACTGTTCAAACGATTCACAATTCATTTCCTCCTGGTAATCTCAAGTTTTCTTAGACTCAAAGCACCACAGACCGTCAACAACAAATCCATCCTCACTGCCAATATGGCAGATAATGAGCCTTTTCCCTTTACCTGGAAATCGAAGTACTAACTGGTGTAGATTTATTTCAATAAGCGAACCTTTTTCAAATGTTTTCATCACATTCAGCGAAAAAACATTGAGACATGAGTATCAGATTGCTATAATTGGGATTATTTAGTCATATTGAAAGAAAGAATATTGAACGTCGTATGATTACTCAGCGCTTCACAATTTAATTTAAAGTTATAAACCTTTAAAAAATGAATGATCAGGAACCTGAAATACGCGCAAATATTAATATTAACAAACTATAACTTTATAAAGCTTAAAGTATGAATTAAAATGATTAGAAATATTAGGAACGGTACACAATATAAAACTTAGTAACTTTTTTTAAGTTTATAATATTCGACATATTTTAAGATTATATTAAAAAATTATTGAAATATCGAAAACACAAAAAACATGGCTTAAAAAAGTTCTAACAAATGAAAATGACAATAAAACATCCACGCATTTTATCGAAAGTTATAAAAGTTTTGTTACTTGCAATATGTTTTATCCCTGGAACTAATGTTTAGAACCTGGTTCCCAAGGTTTGAAAAACATCCGATTGTTGTCTATTACTCGTATTTACCTGCTGGATTTTTAATCCGGTGGACAGTCCATCTAGAAAGGCCCTCCTGGATGAAGTTACAGAATCATCAACCCATACTTTACTTGAAGTGTGTCCTGCGTTTACCCACGTTTCATCAAGGTAATAAATCTTCCTGTTTTGATTTCTATATTTCCCAATTTTTGTTAAATAATCCCTCCTCCATAGCACAATTTCTTCTCTATCCAGTAGTAAACTATTACGACCCCGTTTTTTCCATTTGAAATTTAAATGCTTCAGTAACGCATGGAAAGTTGATCGTTTGAAATTTGGCAACGTTGTATCTCCATTTACCTCCTGCAGTACTTTATCTATAGTAGGTATTTCATTCCTAAAGAAGAATTCATGCGCTTTCCTCCTAATCGCATGCTTATCAGCTTCATCCAATGATTTAACAATACTTTTGCGATGTTTACTGGTCATTGGCTCAGAAAAGGTGTGATTTTTTTTGTATTGTCTTAACACATTAAACACTGATGCGCGACACACCCCAACTTTGTGAGAAACCTTCACAACAATTTCTTTGATGGTTGATGCCTCGTTCTCCTCGCGCTCGATCTTATATATATTCAAAATGACCTCTTTCATTTCTGCACTCAGGTGTCTTTTTTTAGAGCGTTTCCTAGGTGGACTACAGGAGTTTACAACTTCATCGGCAGTATCTGTACTACTGGGCATTTTGCGCAAGCAGTTGATAACAATAACAATCAATAACAAGGTATAACAATAACAACGACAAACTCAACAACTTAATAAGATAACAAACGAAAACGTCCAAAGAAATATCAAATTGCAATGATACACACGACATACGTAACACGTCTGAACCTGAATGTGACTCTGCCTTGATACGACTGCTCTGCCGCTCGGCATAGGCATTTAATTGCGAATTGACCAATGAGGGCTCCTGTTTTACGTCGAGACGGCGGCGTTAGCGTGAAAATCACCCGAACCTTTTGTTTACATCCGGTCTATCTCTTATCTGAATATACTGTAATAATGGTTTTATTTTGGAAATACACATTTTTAAATTGTGAATTGTGTCGCATCTGCTTAGGAGTGATTTCAGATCGGTCCTGAGGGCCCTCCATTTTAAGTCGAAATGAAAAGTCAGGATCTCCACAAATTCTGCAACATGTGCATTATTGGTTTGTTTGATAACACCGCATCTTGTACATTCCAAGGCAAGGTTCCACCTCCAGGAGCATAGTTTAGCAATGTGCTTAACGTTATTTGTTACATTTTCCGACACAGCGTTGTCGCAATGTGTAACAATAACTCAGGATGTGTTGATTTTATCACCATCGGTGGAAATCAAAGATAATTCTAACTTAAATTAAAACTCTCAGAGGCATGATAATTGAAATAAATAATTCTAATCAAAATTAAAATAAAATATTATATTAAATGTTCGAATAGACCTCCTCCTTGGGTTTGACAGTGACCTAACTTATTGTAGCAGCCTGTGCGAACGGTTTCTGGTGTAACATGTTGGCAATGCGGCAGATTGCACAACCTTCACCGTCTCTAGGCAATGTGGTGATCATCTTCGCTCTTCAGCCGACTTCTATTTATTTCTAACATGTTGTGTTGATACACACTTCTCGCGCTTCTCTCTCGTACTCATTGAACTCAAGCCACCAGACAAATTTGATTTTCCCTGTATGTCAATGTACTATTCCTCGCATTTCAGATGCAGAAAATAATGCACATGTAGCATTTTAGTCGAAGATTGCATAACGATTAACCGGTATGTAACGACAGCACATCTGCGTTCTAGAAAGATTTTTGGCGTTTTCGGGTCGATGGATGAGGGTGCCGTGTCTGGTACATTGAAAAAACGTCAGATAACCTCATGCTTGCTGATCGCCTTGGAGGGCTGGACGTCCTTTTGGGAACGGGAATATCTACCCCAGGCGGTCAAAGTCATCGTTGGGACCGAAACGTCATAGAAGAAAGAGGAATTTTAAACATGCTTGTATATGTGGTTTGATTAGGCAAGACAGGCATAAGGGAATATGGTTACAGTCGAACGCACATGGACTGGGTGAAGCAAATTGTAATCCCTTTATGACTAAAAACCTTCTCAACGGCAAGTACAATCGACAACGAGACTAAGTGACCAGTGATCACTATCTCTCGGTTCCAGCTGAGCTGTCAAAGAAGGTTACAGCCGTACGCACATTGACTGGGTGGGGTGGGTGTAGTCACTTTCACTGGCCCGGTAGCGCAGCGGCTGGCGATGGTTATGGCGCGAGCATGGCACACTAGATGCAGCCTGTTTGTGTACTTGCGTCACCAAGGACAAGACTGTATCACGCCCAACGCTCGCTGGTCGCTGGTTTCATCAGGACATCGTTTGTTATGCAGAGCAGATCTAGTGATCTGGTTATCACATTGGCGTATCATACAATTCAAACAGAGTGCCGTCCAATCTGATAGAAAAAAGTAAGTAAATTAGTGGTACCACCTTATTCGACGGAGTCCATCTCCCCCCTGCAAAGACTTTCTTGCGAGAGTCAATATTAGCAAAGACGAACATTAGAACCTTATCAAGATTAAGAAAAATACCATCTACATCGACATCTCTTTTTACTTCCTACGCCACTGGCGAGGAAGTATTGTAATCGCGAAGAATTAAATATTTATTATTATTATTTTTGAATGTTATATGAGATGCTTATCACGAAAAATCATGTCACTCATTTACGCCGATATGACTGTCGGTCTGTTGGCCTGTCCGCTAATTCTTCGCTCGTCTCTAACTTAGAAACTACCCATCTGATTTGGATAAAATTGCTACTATGCTAAGGATGAAAAACATTTGTAGTTTCGGCAGCGAAGCTACGGGACAAACGGTTAGTAAATATAAGTTGCTCAAACTTCATTTCAGATAATTTTCAAAAAACTTTTGTTGTTTAAAAGTTAGGGGTTAAAAACTAGTGGTGAAGGAGGGCACTTGAAGTTGGCTCCCAACCTTAATTTTACTCACCTATTAGACATATTTCACACATGAAATATTGCCCGTACATTTACGGATGGTAATGGAGAGTTTTAGATACGAGTCTCTGCTTCTGCTGTTTGGGTTCACCAGTGGGCATTCCGGTCTCGATGAGTGTCTTGCCATTACTGCCACGGTGCTGCACTGTCGAGCCTGATACGTCGTGCGGGCAAGTATTGAGGAAAGGCGTCGTTGCCAGGTGGAATGTCCATGGAATGATTGTATGGGCCTGTCTGGCTTACTTGATTACTTTAATTTATCTGTTATAAATGTTAGTAACTAACTTTTTTCTCATAGGGTTCAAATTGTGCAGAACATATCCTTTATGAACTGAAGAGGGCGCTGCGTGGGAAGTGCACGGTCAACCTACTCCATTTTTTGATAGTATAGTGGATCCGTGATTTGTAAAAATATAGTGGATAGTAGCCCCGATTGGAACAGCAAAATACGGAGCCAGATCACAAGAATTGCTGAACAATGGACCAATTGTATCTCGATGACTGTGGTAGCAGAAAAACAATGGAAACAAGTATTCCGATTGCTCATTACGCTTTGTCATTATATCACTTACCGATATAAGAATCCATTCTTTTTTGATGACTGCGGTACTTTCCCTTGCTGTCTCTTGCTTTTCACCCAAGGCTGCACTATGCCAAGGTCGAAAAAAACTCTGTAGTTTTTGAAAATCGGTCCAGTGGCGCTTGGTACATTTGCCCTTAAAACTTGAATAATAGATATGTTTTCGATATACGCGTGTCGGACAACTTAACGAGCGTACGTCTGTTTGTTTCGAATGCTGAATGATCATGCGTGTACTCAGGTGTGCAACCCCATGCTGAAATGTCACGTTTCTGGGTGGTCGGTAGTGTCGGTGGAGCGGTAGGCTAGATTGCAATGTTGTTAAATCTGAAGGGTAATTTGACTGATAATTCTTTGTCTGACATGATCCATTTACTTCCTTTTTTTTATACGGTGCTATACGAACCACACCAAGAATCGCTATTGTTGAATGGTACGCTACTGAGGTACGTAAGCCGATCATTGTGATATTATTTGCCTTAGATGACCTCATTTTAATACGGTTTTAACGCTCGTTGCTAATATCATTTCACAATTATTATTTACGGTTAGACTGGCTGGATGTATACCATAATTGAAAACGCGCTTTGGAAAAAAAGGTTCTTTATTAGATATCGAATTAGGTTTTGTTAGGGAAGTAACTGCGTATAAGGAAGTTTATGTTTCATGCAGATCCTTTTTTGCTATGCGAGAAGAACGTATTTTATATGGAATGGTAGATTCTGTACAAGAGTCATGGCGTATCCTGGTTTTGGTCTCACACGAGAGGTCCAGCAGAACTAAAGTAAATTTTCACTATGATAAATTAAAATAGTGGCAGACATAGAACTGGCCTTTGTGTTTTAAGCAGATTCTAAAACAACCAATTATCTAAGTACACAAGATCACCTGAATCCGATGCCTTTATTAGATGTAAATACGTTGATATTTCTGGTGAACGTCACAAAGTGATCAAAAACTGTGGTAGTGTCACAAGGTCGTAATATACGTTAAAATTTGTACAACACATGTAAGTCAAAGATTTCCTCTTGCCGAGATACAAGGTGTTGGAGTTCACGAAATCAAGGAACATTTCACCACCCAAAATTGTACATGTGGCAAGTCTAGTATAAGAATACACACAAGTAATGCTTCTAGTGCATCTCAACTAACAAGAACATCCGATTTCTATGGGCGGCTAAGCTTTGTTAGGAACATTCCTTCCGGCTTGTCAGAGTTCAATCTACTGAAAACATTATTGTTGTTTAGGATCTACCTCTGCGGCTGCGTTAACCCAAAAACAGGGCAAAAGTTTTGAATGACGTGATCGTTTGCTCATCAGGCAAATTTAGTTGAGGCAGCGGTAGATTTCCTTTCTCAGTCAGTGAGTATCTATGAGAAATCACTGCATGAGACCTTTCCTAGACATGTGCTCCTTGTTTTGGTGATATGAATTGAGCCTTCCGATCTCTCTATAGGCTTCTTTCTACCTATATCTAATGATATTGTAATGTGCGGTTTCTCAATATAGTGCTACAGCAAGTGAAACAATTAAATGCTGCATAGCCTGGTCGTGTACTCTCTTGTTTCGATGACCACAGTTGTCTCTCTAGATTGTGTGATTTAACACCACTGGATTTCTTTTAATGGGATCATTCAAACGTAGGTCTATACCCACAGGCACCCGTGCATTGAAATAGGAATCTCAACGCCGACCCAATGAAATTCATCTACATTTATGCAAAATGATCATGAAAAATTTCGACAAAACCATATCGTGTGAAGTTAACGATTCGGTTAGAAATAACAATCTAAATAAGCAGATACATGTTTTCTGTTTAAATAATCTCAAATGTTTTGCTCTTTCCCCCTCAAATCGATTTCGAATCGGCAACTGGAGTTTTATGTTTAACGAATTTTCAATAATATGGTGAATGTGCAACAGAATTCCGTATTCAGAATGAACGTTTAATTCCTGGATTTTAGAGATATTAGATGCTTTATATTCACTTTTTGTCATTTCTAATTCGAATTTGGGTTGTAAAGCGAAGCCTGCTACTCGAAACACAGCACATACAGTTTTTCTATCGAAGTTCCCCAAAACATATTTTTAAGTGTGAATAAAACTCTGTGATTCAAGTAATAAATTTATTTATATTGTACAGTCAGTGTCAATAACCTATTTATTGATTTATTAGTGATATAGTAAAAACTGATTTTTAAACTCTACCCTAGTACGTCCATTGCTATAGCGATAAGATTTATTACAAAAAATAAAAATACATATTATTAACCTTTGGTTCGAATTTCACTATTTCAAAATAAATAATACTTTTGAATGTCGAATGATTTAATTTGAAACACACTATGATTCACGAAAAGCACTGCACTCAACATTAAAAGTTTTTGGTAAATACGTCTATTTTCATAGTTTGACCGTGAAGCAAAATATTATTGGAGCCTACCAAAGAATGTATAGAAAATCAGAAATAATTATTATTTAGCATTATACATTTTAGAAGAGTTTGGATAAAAAATCTTTAGAAAAACTGGAACCTTAAACATTTATTATACAAAAACGGGCTGAAAAATTATCTCTGGAGATCCTCGTAACAGTGTTTATCCTCTTAGGAGTTTTTATCCGTGAACCATTTTGTATTTAACCGAGCAATATCAACATTATACGAAACATCGTTATATACATTTTTCCAATTTTTTTCCGCATAAACCGTACATTGCTTACATGAACACATTCATTTATCATCTAAAACATTGATAAGTACAATTAATCAACAAATATTAACTTATCTACAAATATTTACACAGAAACCGGTTTTGGTAAAGATAGTATTCACAGCGTTAAGAAAACTGGCGTGAAAAAAGTTCTAATTACTATATAAATTCATTTTGAGTTTGTTTACCGAGATGCTTTTGATCAATTAAATGTGTTTTCGGTTATATTAATTTTGTATTACACTTGAGAGATGGTCACCAACTCAAAAATATTTCCAACATTTTAATCATTGTGAGTAGTAATCTATTTGCTTGTGTTAGGCTAAGCTAACATTTCAAAACAGTATAGTCTTCGGAATGATCTCATGAACCCCATTATTGCCATTGAGCTCACATGGTTTCTGGAAGAAGCTCAGAGGTGTGCCATTTCATGCAATTCATCTCATTCAACTGAGAGATTGGTGACTTTAAAATATATTTTGAGACGTAAAGAGTGTGATACCTAAAGTCTAACAAAGCGTGACAGTTAATAAAAAGCAATCTATAGAACGTGCTAGTTACATTAATTTGACAGTGCGTTATAAGATATGTCGAAAGTTTAATATGTAGATTTCGTGTGTAGGAACTTTTAAAATTCTTAATTAAGATATCGATGACTTAAGGTGGTATGCCTTCTACAATCTATGTACAACAAGATTCTTAAATCTAGGTAGACTTTAGCCTAAAATCACATAATAAATATATTATACAATATTTTTTCAAGAATGTACAGCCCATATGATGCTCCTGCGGTATATAGAAACAAAGGCCATTATATTACTCTCTAAAAACTCACAGGCCATGACACCACAGGTGATTTTAGCTGAAGAACTGGATATATAATATTGTTCTATTTTTCATTTATCCAACGTCTTTAGTGTATAGCCCCTTCCGAAATTTTTCTTCCGCTTAAAGACGATCAAGAAATACAGGACATCGAACTTCAGTCATGTCCTTGTATTTTTCTAATTTTCGCCAATAAGTCCACCACAAAATGTTACTACTACCTAGAGAATTATTGCTTTCACATATCATTAAAGTCATAATTAGGAAAATTGCTTGAATTAAAAATTCACGTGCTACAGATTAACAAACTGACGACAAACTGATTTATCTCATTATCATGGTGTTACCAAAAAATGTCCTGAAGCAGTAAAATTGTGAGTAACTTGAGTAAGAAATAAAAAAATATACGACTTTGCCGAAATATGTTGAGACGCATTTTTCTAGAAGCGTCTGGTAATCACGAAATTTCGAACCAGGCTTCCTCCATATTGTTGATACTGTACCAACGTGAGTGGATTTTCTCGAGTCCGTTTAACATGAAATGAATAGCTGATCTAAGAGGTTATCAGAAATGTGTCATAGTCTTCAGTATCGCCCTGTTTCTATATACCCCAAACCTCAAAAAACCTACTACGTTACTAGGTAGACACTTCAATCGGATGATCATTATTATTCAACAATCCATCTTTCTCCTGTTTCAACTTTGTATCAAAATCCTCCGTACTTGTTTCCGCAGTGAAAGATTCTTCGTCATCTTCGTCTTTGCCCACCACGTCAATGTCATTTTCATTGTTGGTAGGAGAGGCATGAAGTCGGGTGGGGGTGTAATAGTCGGTTGCTCCGCAAGTGACTTTGCCCATGAAGGTGCGGATTTCATCGAAGTAGACGTCTTCCCTTTCGTTTTCGTTGCTGCTTCCTGGAGAGTCTGCTACTGGAACGCCTGTAACAATCAGAGATAACTTTAGTATAATCGGATAGAAAACATCGTACCCAGCGTGACAGAATGGAACTCATATACACGTAAGCCTGAATAAATAGTCAATAACTTTTCAGGAAAAAAGTATCAGATATGCAGATTTGTGCAGGAGAACCTTATAATACCACTAATAGCCAATTGACATCAGTAGAAGTAGCGGATACAGCTCTTATGGATTGAATATAGCATTCTTTTTAAAAAAATGATACCAGAAAAGGTCTCAAAGGTCTCTAGGATAGTCCAATGAGCAATCAGAACTATGGAAGGGGCAAGGCAAGAAAAGTCAATGCAAGAGCTGCGTTAAACTATGTCAGGCTACCAGTCTCCTATACAAACCTGCACAAGCCTCAAGGGTGGATGCCTTCGGTGACCTTAAGGAAAAAACTATAGGTCCGGAAAGGTGCCAAACATTTTTTGAAACAAAAAGATTTAAAGTCTTAGTAATTCTTCAAACAATTTTTTCAAATGTTTGCATATACAAATTCAAGGAATCTAGACTATATTGGATGATACAAGCGCTTCCATAAAACCCAAACCCCCAAAGGAAAACATTAACAAACTGATTTAAGTCCAACAATCCGGCCAGGATAGTTTTTGGTTTTATCATAGCATTTTGGTTTTCTCTATTGGAATCTTCTATCTGTTCCTACTGAACTTCATCAAATTTTGCATTGACCAATCCGTTATTACAATTCTTACAAATAACATATTTCAAGTAAACGAAGCATTACTTATGAAATATGATTACCTCCATTTCCATCGTCAGCTTCATGTTTCTTCAAATGCCTGTCCAAATTGGTCTGCTGTCCAAAACACCTCTCACAAAGTGGACACTTGAACGGCTTTTCCTTATTGTGAATGTTCCTCACGTGCCTCTGTAAGTTGCTGGATATGCTGAAAGACCTCTCGCAGTATCTGCATTTGTACGGTTGCTCGCCAGTATGTGTCCGCAGATGCCTGGTCAGGTTGGCTGATCTGGGAAAGAGCTTGCCGCAAAACTTACAAGCGTACCTGGAAAGAAAAGAACCTTAGTTGAAGAGTCTAAATAGAAATTGACCTCGAATTCGACTCTAAGATCGAGAAACCCTATCTCATGACCATTTAGAGATTAACCCAAACCAAATAATATCTCATAAACATTTGGAGGCCAAAGTCGATCAATATGTATAGTCAACTGCGGTAACAAAGTTACTGACTACCGATAAATGCACGCTTGACCTTGGACCAACATTCACCTTCGACTTTAAGGTCAAGACATTAATATCAAGGTCATTTCGATCTCACATCTAACCAACGTGCACTAGTAGACAAGCTTAGTTATTCACTTCAAGGGTACACTTGAACTTCAATTTTGACCTCAAAATCAAGGTCAAGACACCTTATATGAAGTTCATTTCCACGTCAAATATGTGGTGTTGTAGCCAAAGACTCGGTGAGTTCCATTAAAAACACACTTGACTTTCAATCGACCTTGACATCTTTTTTCAAGGTCAAGTCACTTCATGACAAGGTCATTTCTGTACCGAACCTGACCAACACGCTCTAGCCAACTGTGGTAAAGAGAAGAGCGATTTCTATTAAAAAACTGTTTTGACCATGAAATGACCTTAATTTTCGACATTAAGCACTAATGTCGAAGAAAAACTCGACATAAAGGCACTAGTTAATTGTCTTGACATACTCAGCGGTTCCTGTTAAAGACGCAATTGACCTTGAGCTGACCTTGACTTCAGTCGCAACATGTTAGCCTCCCAGAATAGAAGTACACTATATTCAATGTCAATGTTTTTATTAAAAAGCTATTTGTTATCTTTGTACTCTACCTATCTTTCTTGCTTTGACTCTGCTGCTGCATGACATTGTGAAAAGGCCTGATTCCTCCCATTTCTTGCATCCCAGGTCTGGGCAGGTCGAACCTTTGATGAGGCAGCAGAAAGGGAAACCTTAGATGATTATAGGCTGAGTGCAGGAGCCTGTCACTCTCTTGCTGAGACTCGTAGCACATGTAGGGAGGGTACTTAGGCCTGCAGGGGTCCAGCATAGGATGGATGGGTCTCGGATAAGCCATCGGGGGGTTGGGAAGCTTCTCCATTTGGAGAGCTTTCTCTTCTTCTGCGTCGGTAACTTCGATTGGTGCGTCTTTTGCTGAGTGGGGAGATGCCGGGAGATCTGGGGACTGTAAAACGAACATATCTGAGGTCTAGAAATAATGCAATATTTTTCCGATCTTACTAAATTTAACCAGTTTGTAGCTTATATGAACAGACCATATATTCTTTTAAATATTACCTTTCAGTCAACAGTTTACAAGGGGTAAGAAGTCAGTATTGTTACACAAAGGCTAATTTACCCCTGGCGAACGAAACGATTCAATTAGAGGAAGCTGGTGAACTCTTTTTAAGTTAGTGGCATCCTGGCAACTAGAAACTGCTGAGCTTGAGATTCGTGTATCTCTCGTTGATGTCCGGCATATAGAATTGTCCTGTTGGGCTAGTTTTATTTACCTGTTTTGCGAGACTGAGCTCAGACCTCGAATTTTCCTTCATCTCTGGTACCAGCTGAGCTCTCTTCCATCCACTCAAATCGAGAGGCTGTTCTCCATCTTCGCTACTAGGAGATGAAGGTACCGTCAAACTTTTCTCGGAGGTCTTCGATAAATCTGTTGGAAAATGTTCTTCGTCTTCTGACATGTTGGTACATGAACTACCCGGATGCGAAACTGTAAGAAAGAAATCGTACTATAACAACGTATAAAATTTTGATTGTTGTAAATGCTCTAGCAATTTCTAGAATGTTGACTAAACACTTCAATGAAGGTGCTTAGTAACTTCGCTTGTGTTATTGTGGAAGCGGGATTTAAAATTGAGTATTACTTCAACCAACACTTACCATGTGTGTTGTTTGGCCTTGCTGGTGAAGGAACTACATCAGCTTCTGATGCTTTAGGTGGACTTATCTTCGATACCATGGCATTTTCTCTAGGTGGAGTCAAAGTTTCTGATTTCACTGTAGAAAATTCCATGGCAGCAGGGTACCATTCCGATTTTACCGAAGGGGAATTTCTCTGCGGTCTTGCAATGGAAGTCTCCTTCTCTATTTTCACTTCTCTTTCCATTTTCACCATCTCTCTGGTAGGTGTGATTCTTTCAGATTTTACTTCCGAATTGACATACTGATCTGGACTATGCAATCGTAGTTTCTTTGATAGAGGCACTGATAGCGCAGCTGATGAGTGCTCGTCTGGTAGCTGGAATCAATCATTTATTTACTCTTAAGTTTTGTATCATATGCTAATATGTACATCTCAAGACGATCGAAAACACACAAGATGGAATAATGACCGCTTAAACAATGCAGAGTAAAATGTTGCATCGAAGGTTTCTACATTTGACACTGACCATTAAGTGAACAGAAGTGTTCGTTGTCTGCTATCAACTATTAACACACATCAGTACCTTGAGATGACCGACATATTAGGTTTTAAAGAGTCTGCGATATCACATACGATCCTCCTGTTTCAGGAAGAGGATTAGGTGAAAATATAGTACCTGCTTCAGTATTAAACTCAAGCTCGTGTATCATGTAGGTTACATATTAAGCTGTTTGTTTTAGGAAATCGAATTTGGAAAACCGAAAACGGCACGGTCTGATAACAACATGCTGCTGATACATCGTGAGTGTATTCATATCACCTTCCTGGACGTTTCCAGCCCACGCTGCGTGGGCTTTTCAATTTCGTGCAAAGGACTGCTGCTTGTAGAGTCGTCAAGGTGGCCCAGTCACCTTGCCACAAACTGAGTGACAAGTCACAGATCCTGTGATTTTTAGTTGAAAGGCGACAGAACAACCAAGCTTCTGGTGTTACCGTTTTTCCAGAAATCCAAAGGACTTCAATCCTTATTTCTGCAAGATAAGGTAGACAAAGGTAGGTTGATTCCTAAGAAAATCATTTTGTCGAATATGAGCATCTGTACTCCATGTCTAGTAAAATTCATGACATTCATAACAAAACCTACCTATGGGAAAGTTTTCGGTCCCTTCATCCCACTCGTTTTCTAGTGTTTGCAGGGACAGTGCATTTAACTTTTTTCTCCTAACGACGTGAACAGGCAAAATAGTTCCTTGAAACGACCCCTATTTTTGCACCTCCTTCTTTGAACCTGTCTTTTTTGGATAACCTGTAGCCGTGGGACAACTCTTTTTCCTTATTAACGTTAGCCTTTGACTACCTTGCACCTGGCTTACCATATTTGACCTCTCCAGTTTTGGACCTTTATTTGGGCCTTATTATAGATCTATGAACCCAGGCTACTCCAACCTCAACCTTAACTAAATTCATGGACATGTAGCTATACTCGTATATCAAGCAGTCTATGTCTTTCATCGGTGTCAAAGGCATGGGAGTTGCAAAGAAAAGTTATAATTTTTTATTCTTATTGCATTGTTTTATTTGTTTGCCTAAAATTGATCTTTTTAATGTATATAGTTTTTAGGTTTTCTTACAAAATATATTAGAATTGTTTTTGCGTAATAAAATTGGTGAAATTTTAATGTGCTTTATTCGTTTTTTCTCTCCTCTCCATGTCAGTCTCAACTTGTGTCTTTGAGCGTCTTGCCCCCATCTAACATACCGGAAGCTAGTTATGATCTCTTTTCTGTATGGGCTCAGAAGATATGTACCATTATTTCTGAGCAAGCAGAAAGTACGTTATAGTACGTTTCTCAGATTTCTGAGATGAAGTCGAGGTTTCTTAAGGATGTGAAAGATTTGAGTGTTTTCTAACTTTTGGTTTTTATGTAATGCAAAGATAGCGTCAACTGTATGGAAAGTACAATAGATTCAATATGCATGACACTACACTTTCGTATGTTATTAGGCTTACCTGATTCAGCCCTCTCTTAGGCATCCCATTCATCCCGTTATACATAAATGGCGGTATGGAAATTCCGTGCGGGAATAGTGGCGGGTATGGCAACGAGAAGGGAAATGGCAGGGGTCCCCCAGCGGCTGTAGGCCTAAACATGTAGGGGTTGTTGCTGGCCATGCCAGTAAATGGGGGCTGCAAGGAGGTGGACAACGCCGTAGCCGGTGTGCTGTGGTCGCAGAAACGCTTATGCTTCGACAGGGACGTCACGGTGGTGAAGCACTGGCCGCACTTGACGCACTTGATGCGCATGCGACAGTCGGCATGCATCCGCTTATGGCGACACAGGTTCGAGAACTGAGTGTATGACTGAAAAAAATCACATATTTTAGTTGACAGGATATTTTTGTTCATAATCATAACGCGAGATTTGCTAGCTATGGAGCAACGCTGCTGAAATCGGATGGTGTTAGTTTTGCTAAGAGCTAGCAAAACGAGTGTACCTATTGCTGTCAATGCTACGGTATTCGGCAGTGCTATGCCGCAGCTATGCGTTAAGATTTAATGAGGAACATGCTCCGCAATACCACGAGCAACCCTTAGCATCCCGTGTTATCCCACCAGGTTATGACTCTATCTATAGCCTAAGAGCCGAAAGATGCCTCACAGCATACCGATGCCTTGTGCCGCAAGATTCTGCAGAATGCTTTTCCATGCCGTTAGAATACCGAAGGTCATTCTGTGCAGCGGCATCAAAGTGGCAAGGGCTGGTGCAATGAGGTCATCAAAAAGAATCTGTCTCCCATAAGCACGATAGAGCTCAGCAAATCATGCTGTGAGATTGCGGCACTGGAGGTTTCGCGTGTTTTGGCTAATAGGCTGATGCCGAGGTTGAGATGGTCAGATGCCATCAGATGCCGCCGCTTTGATAGGAATTTTTCTATCAACGTGCGCTGGCGGAGAGAAAATCTATTTCGATGTTCGTACCCGCTGTCTCGAGGCAAAAAAGTCCCAAAGAATGAAACTTCAATATGTCTGAATCTCTTCGATATTTAGTATATTTTTGGATCTACAGTAGATTGCAAATTATTTTATTTGTTTGCTTACCTTGAAGCAGACTTCACACTGGAAGGGTTTAATAGAAGAATGGATATGTGTATGTTGTTTTAGTCCTGAAGATGTCCCGAATGTCTTTCCACACTCTGGACATGCATGTGAGCGAGCTCCTACGTGATGGGTCCTAATATGCCTTTGCAGATTACTGGGATCAGTAAAGATCTGGAAAACAATTAAATATGTTATCACCGGATACTTCTAACAAGTGTTGAACTCTTCTCTTAGCAATCGAAGTGGAAAAGACTCACATTCAAAAGTTACTTAGAGTCAAAAGATCACATGTAAACACTAATTTGAACCATACTTTAAAAACCTAGGAAATTTAGCCCTATAATTGATTAAAACAATATCTTTGTAGACAAGCCAGGAGGGTATGTCTTCTGAAAACGAGTACTTTTGAAACCGTTTTTTTTGGTACCAGAAATATTTACCTTTGGGCAGTTTTCACAGTGATACTTCTTAGTCTCTCCGTGTTCAACAGCTTTGTGCTTGATCAAACAGGGCCGATCTGAGTAGGATTTACAGCAATAGTTGCATTTAAACTTATCTTTCTGATGATTGTGCTTCAGTATCAGGTGTTCGTCTAGCCTGGAAACAAAAGATGCGATGTGATTTTCAGAAATATTCGTTTTTCTTAAAGACTTTTTCGTAGTTTTTAAGAAACTGCTTCTCCAATCTCGATAAGGATTCGTTACGTATTAAGAATCAACAACATTGATGTCTAGGTTTGAAGCAATTTAATACTCTAGGCATCACAGTTAAGCTTTGTACATATATACAGCCTGAGTTTCTAGTTGATAGCTCCGTTATTTCGAAATGTATCTGAAAAAGCTACAAATAAATATTATATGTTCCTTACTTGAAAGGTATGCCCCTTCTACAAGGTGATCATGGCAACGTAAACATATTTTTTAAGTAGAACACTAGAATATTTTAGTATATACTTAAAGATCTTTCCAAATGGAACAGTTTGATATTTCGTTATATAGGGGGCTACGGAAGATTTTGTCCGACAAAAGAAACTCAAGCCAGTCACTTATGCAGATAGAGTAGCAGACTTTTCATCATAACGAGCTCCACATCCCATAGTTTTTCGTCATTAAAAATTGTGTGCATCACCTATACAGGATCGTTATTAACGGAAACTAACTTTTCTCAAAAATCAAAATTTTACATTAGTATATTTTTAAGCTTGTGCTTCATTCATCCTTTTTATAAGATTTATTTTGAAATAGACATTATTAGGGATTGAACCAGCAAATTTTGGAGATACTTGCGGTTATCCAGAAATTAAAATTTAAAATAAATAAATACTACATGATTGCAACTGGTGTACAGCGACGCTTATATTGCCACCTAGTTAGAGATAATCTTGTGGAGAGCGGCATAGTAAACCAAGTTTCCTATCATTTTTGTGACTAACTTTTTTAGATATATTCTGAAATAAGGGTGCTACTGGCCGATTGCGCACTGAAAACCCACCCTGTCTATTCGTTAGACAAGGGAAGAGATTAACTTCTTGTAACTCTCGCATTTAGGCGCCTCAAGAGACGTTCTCCGAAAAACATACAGTGGTAAGAATAAAACAAAAATAACAAATGCGATTATTTCTAATTCAATCTATCCCTACAGCTCAATGTGTTAAACAAAATGAATTTGGTTTCATACTAATATGAAAGTATACAGACCTCACAGTGGAATTGCTGGCAAAAAACCTGTTTGGACTCCTCAAGCGGCTCCAGGTCAAAAACTAAACATTTTTTTTTCAATGAAGGTCAGTCTTAGCTAAGCTTTCGCTTCAGCTGAAGGAGAACCGTAACAACTTACAATGGGAACTTGGGAAAAGGTCGGTTTAGTCGCGAAGTGATTCTACTAGTCTTGAATCTGTATACTTCTCCCATATCTTCTTTGCGTGACAATACGGTATAAAGGGTATCAGCTAAATAATCAATGATGACAATAACAATAAATTCATAAGTGGGACTTTCACACGGCAATAGCAAATACAATTTTCTGTACTACCGCAGATTATGATTCCGTATTTACGATTCAATTTTGATTTTATTGCCTTACGATCTCCACACCATCCCAGATATTAGAAAACTTTTAGATTGCTCTAAAATTGTTTTATACGATATGTGGAACGAATCGCAATATGGTCAATTTTCTTGTAATATACTTTACTGTCTATTTCATGTTACTTTCACAATTATGTTTCAGTTGAATTAGGATGATATACTTAGTACACACAGAATGTTTCTGAAACGTTGTTCCAAAATCAAACGGATGAATCGTTCGGCCGTTCTGAAGTTAGGTTCTCACGAGGTTAAAAGACAACGGCGTGGTACGCTTTCGATTTTCTTTCGTAGCTCTTGGCTTGAGAGAAAAATGAAAACTGAACTAGTAGTCTACTCAGATTAGCAAATTTCTCCGAAATAATCGTAAAGTCTGTTGTTATTGATGCAAGTTGATCAAGGGGGTATTTTTTTTTAAACCGAAGCAGCCGCGCAGGCAGAAGCCTAAATGCCGGAACACCGCGGCTGCTATGATGATCCCAAAGAAATTTTGTTGATACGATTTTTGAACTGCCTAAGGTTAGTAGAACTGGGAAAAACTTCCTCCCGTAGATTGTTCCACAATCTAGACACCCTCGGGACAAAGGAGCGGTCGTATCGGCCAGTTCTGGATGTACGAAGTTTGATACGGTTAGGATGGGACGCCGAAGTCAGGCGCGGCGGCATCATGGAAGAGAGCTCTGAAGAGCAAAGCCCGTTGGTGTAGCGATAGAAAAGAGCTAGATCGCCGACGGCCCACCGGTGCGAAAGAGTCCCGAGACTGTCTGTTAGAGAAGAGTCATCGATCAATCGGACCGCCCTCCTCTGGACAGCATCGAGCATGGACAATGTAGTCGGGGCGGCAGCACCCCAAATGTGTGAGCAATACTCGAGGCTAGGCCTTATCTGGGCCTTGTATAGAGTGAGAATGTCATGCGGAGAAAAGTACTTCTTAGCCCTAAACAAATAGCCTAGCTTTTTCCCAGCAGCTGCAACTATTGAAGAGATGTGTTCGTGCCAGATCAGGTCCTCGGTGATCTGGACTCCGACCAGCCGAAATGAATGGCTCTTTGGTAGAACTCGACCGCCCATCGAAACTGTATGAGCGCTAGGACGCTTTTTGTTCGTCAAAGTACAGTACTGTGTTTTGGAAGCATTGAACTGTACAAGATTGTTGCGTCCCCAAGCAGTAATAGCCTCAAGGTCTCTTGTCAGAGTCATCGCTAGTCTTCTTCTTTCCAGCTCAGCGGCAGAGATCGGCTTGTCACTCTGAATTGCTGCATGTAGAGTGCTGTCATCAGGGGGAAAAGGTAGGGCTCGTCACCAGCTGGGTCAGCCCTTGAGTAACAGCGAACGCTTCGACTGCACGACTTGCTGTATCGGCCCAACCAAAGCTCATTATGAGCATTGAAATCGCCGAAAAGAACTACCTCTGAAGCGGGGTGATTGATGTTCAGGAAGTCCATCTTCAAGTAGGTCATCCCAGTTATGGTCCGAGGGAGATCGACAAAGGCAGCAAATAAAGTTGGGTCATGTTTTGGAGTAGAGGCGAAGCCACAGAATGTCCTTCCGGTCTGATTCCAAACAAACATCTCTGGAGCAGGAAAGACTGCTGCGGACAAAGGCTACAACTCCCTCGTTCTTTCTCAGATTGGACTGCACCTCGTAATTGCGGAAGTTAATATGGTTACTCGGTGCAGACAGCGAGATTTTTGTCTCCGCCAAAAAAAGCATGGCAAGACGATTGGATTGCAGGTAGCGATGAACAGCATCAATGTTGCTGTTAGTCCCGCAGATGTTCGTAAAACAAATTTTATCTTCGATGTTGTTCCCTCAACCCCACCCTCCACCCGGACATTCCGAGAGTGGAGTGACTTTACGTCCGGAAAATTCTTAGTGCTTGAGGGATTCATCATCAACCGAGGCAAAATGCAGGTTATGACTCTTGTTACTAATGCAACGATAATTTCACGCAGCTACTTGACACTCTTCAAATCCGTAGGCTTCATACTTCTTAATAGCCACAACCAAATTGGAGTCGATTGGTCAAGTAGTTTTTGAGAATTTCTAATTGTTTATCCCAAAATACCTGTCATCCGGCCATCACTACTAGTTTACTGAGCAATATACAGGGTTCGTTCAAAGGGCATTTTATAGCGAAATACACAAGCTTACCTTGCCGACACGAATCACAAACCATTCCGAAAGATAATTCTTACTTTTATACGAAAAACGAAGCGGATAAGTAATTAGAAGTTCTCAAACACTACTTGGCGCCTACGAATTTTAAGAGTCTCAAGTATCTGCGTGAAGCTATCGTCGCATTACCAACAAGTGCTAAAACCTGCATCTTGCCTCGGCCATAACTTTTTCACTATCAGTCAGATCTTTTTACGTGTGGCGACATTCTGTGGGCCCCATAAATGCCTAAAAATCTTATTTAGTTTTCTCGTTCCTGTCAACACTTTCGATTGAATCCCAAAAATACATTTTCTCATTCTTTGTTGTCGAATAAAAAGTTCTCCCACAAAAATTGGTGTACCATTTTATGCATCCATATTTTGAAAACCCCCTTGAACAACTTGCATCCATAAAAGCAGAATTCACAATTATTTCGCCAACCAGGGGTATTTTGGTCTAATATGATTAGACTAGCGAGAGTCGTGGAGTGTTCGAATGGTCACGATTCAGATCAGTCCTTGAAACCAACTATAAAGGAACTCCTGGTTGAAGGTTCTGCAGCTTTGAGTTTGAGTTTTAGAGCTATGTTAGCTGAAATGTTGAGAGAGGCACGTGAACAGATAAAAAATCGGAAGAAAGCCTACTTGGAGCAGGAGGTGAGTGGCATATCCACGCCTGAATGTCAAACGTGTTTGATACCGAATGTGAGTGGGCATATACTTGCCTCTGTCCCGATAATGACGATTTTCGAAAAACCGTATCATTTTGATTTTCCGGAACGATTTTTAATAGCAAAGGCATGTTACCCCATCTACAAGAATTGTTAGGTCTGTTCCATTTAAAATTGAAATTCTTTGAAATTAGGGAATGGAGCAGCTGATAAAACGTGGGCGTACTTTTGTTACTTTTCGCCGCATTGTATAACTGAACACTGATAATAGAGTTGCCTCCCGGATCAGTCTGGGGAAAAAAGTGCTGTGATGAAACGCTTAATGAACAAACTGATTTGTTAGAAATGGATGCGTTTTCCAAAATGGATCAATAGTTATCTTCCATTTAGAATGCAAAGCTCCAGTGTTCTTCTTATTGAATTGTATGCAGCAATTATTCGTTCTTCGACGTTGAAAACACTAATACTTCTCGTTAGTTAAAATATGGAGATCGAACAGACCATAACTCGACCGCGTTATGCATAACTTCACCAAATGCTATTTGATAAATTGTGTGTCATGTGTCAAGTAGGTTTACTCAGTTTCACATGCGACAGCTGCTTTGATCGACTTTCTCTATTACAGTTCATATGACGTTATGTTTGAGAATAAACCAATCATAGTAAGAAGTAGTCAACATACT